ATCACCTCAGCTCTATTAAGGTCCAGACGGTTGACTACATACTTGAGATCCCTTGAAGTGGGGAATCCCACTGAGGAATCCTTCGAAGTCCCACAAGGATGAGACATCAAATACTATGAAGGAATGACGTCCATTTGGTTCACGGAGGCGGCCATAGCTGATTTCGTAATAGCTTCGTATATTTAAAAAACGTCCGATTGCGAGTGAGGCTTGCAAACGAGTGGGAGTGTAATTATAATGGCTAAAAAAAGTTGTAGCGTAATGAAGCGACAACTGCGCATTAGAGTAATGAGGCTACGGCGCAGAGTGAATTTTAAGGAAGAACATAAGTGTACATATGTGTGTGTGTAAAACACTGTTCTTTGTGTGTGGGAGTTCCATGCAGTAGAAAAGAGACATAGAAGGAGAGCAGGCAATAAATTAAAGCTTTGGGGGAGAGATAATGCAAACATATATGTAAATAGTTTATATCATTATTTTGCCGTTGATTTGATAAATTTCGTAGTAGCAGATGAAGAATTTATTTATTTTGGAGGGTTTAACGTTATTTCCTACAATGCACTATGGGGTTTTTGACCACTTTATGTGGCATTTAATCATTTTTTGAAAGTTTTCTAACTTAAACAAACTTAGTTAACTGTATAAATTGTGCGTGTCTATACTAACATTTTGTCATTTTATAAATGCACCTAAGGCTTGATTTTGGGAAACAAATTTCAACTTTGGGAAGAGTTTTGAAATAGAAGAAATAGAAAGTTTTCAATGCGTCCAAGTGTATGTTGTTGTCAATACTGAGCAAAGGCTGTTAGTCTTATTGTGCGTTTTTCCCCACTATTCGTGCAATTTGAATTTTTCTTAGACAACCTCACTTTCTCCAACGCCAATTTGGTCGCTGCTTGGAACAGCGAAAAGGGCCGGGCTGAGCAACAAATGGCTGTACAATATTTTGTTGAACGCCATTCAAATAACAATGTGGATAATGAAATTTTGAAAGAAAAAACCAGCCAATTTTTGCAAAATAATGCGTTACAAATAGAACAGTTGTCGAAGGAATTATAAGTACTTTGCAAGTAAGCACGGAAAATGGATAAGCAGCACAAAAAATTGACCTATGAAAAAGCGCAATACGAGTACTAAACGCTTATTCCATTTGTGTCAAAAGCCGAAAGAGCTCTAAGACAGGAAGCAGCTGAACTATCAAAATCACAGAGTAATGAAGTACTTTTGTTAGTCCAAGCAGCAAGCACAGCCGCCCGAAAGCAAGGACTACATGATCTTGGTGCTGTTCTTAAAATACTTGCAAGTACTCCGGAGAAAGCCACAAAAGTCAGGGAATTTTTAACCAAGCCCATAAAGCAACCCATACGTGCGTCCAAAGATGATGCATTAGCGTTAATATTGGATCAAGGGCTTACCAAAAAACAGGACTGTGCGTTCCAGGACGACGTGCGCAAAAGAAAAATGGACATTTACCCCCTCTACAAAGATGTTGCAAAGCAAAAGAACAAATGCAGACCAGTGAACATTGATGTCTTAGAGACGGTAGCTAAGGTCTCCATGCAAAGCCTTTTAGAATATACGGTTTCCCGAATTGTGGCACTACAAGAGGGTGTAATTCAGAATGTGTTGGCCAAGCAACAAACTGATTTCCTATCTGCTGAGCTGGCAGTACTAGACAGGCTAATTATAACCAGGCATACGGAGATAAAAAACCGTATGATGCAGACTCATGCCTTTTTGCCACCATTATAACGCCTCTCCGAATGATCGACGCATCCGCAAATTATTTTTGGAACAATCGCACTCCACAGTCTATTAGGTTTTGTCGTCCCTTAAAGTTGGAGTTTTTGAAGGAAACTAAAGAATCGATATTAAAAGAAAAAAAGCACATAGAAAAGGAAATTGAAGAGCTAATGCTATGTAAAATACCACTAAATGACAGATAAAGGGTGTATGTAAGATTTAGCCCATATTTTACTGCCATTGCTGGTAAAGTACTGAACGCTTTGACAGAAACGAAGTCATTTCAGCCAATGCATAATATGCCAAGCAAACCAAAATGATTTCCCTGGAAATAAGAATTTGAAGTGCCTTAAATTTGTGCCAATAATGCAAAATGTAAAATACGGAGTAAGCCCACTGCATAGCTGGTTACGATTTTTTGAGTTCGTCTTGCATGCCGTTTATAAGATGGAGCTAAAAAAAATGGCAAATTTCTGATCCTTCGAAAAAGAACGCAAGGCCCAAATTCAGAAAAAGTTTTGGGAAAGACTCTCTTTAAAGGTGGATAAGCCTAAACAACTTTGGTTCCGCCCGAAGTTAGCTTTCCTTTCTTGTTTTAGATTTTTTAATGTTATTAATTGGTTTTATTTTGATATTCTTATAAGGATCGGCCAACTATATCCGATGTTTGCGATATATATCCGGTTTTAACTGCAAAGGTATATCAACTGCGGCTCCGCCCGAAGTTAGCTTTCCTTTCTTGTTGCTTATCATTTTTTATTGGTTTGATAGAATTTAAACATTTTTTTTTTCATTTCGTATCTCGGTATTACAAACTTAAAAAAAAAAAAAAAAAAAGAAAACAAAAAATAATTCATTTAAATATAAAAATATATGAATTAAATAGATTTTCAGCCTTTGGCATAAGTATTTTGACGAGTGGTTTTAAATAATGTAACAAAAAATATATTATGAAAAGTCCTTAAAATATAATTTGGATTAATAAAATATATAATCCCCTTTAGTTTGAATAACTTTTTGAAGTCGATTTGGAACTGAGTCCACTAAAGCCTTAAGGATATCCGTGGGCACATCGTTACAAAGGGAAGTAACCTCGTGAATTGTTTCTTCTTTGCTTTTATGCAAAGAAGCAATTCGCTTCCGCTTTATGAGGGACCACATGTTTTCAATAACATTCAAGTCTGGACTTTGTGGTGGCCAGTCGAGAGTATTGACACCAACATCCTGTAAAAATTTGGTGATCATTCTGCTTTTGTGACATGGGGCATTATCCTGTTGCAGGATAAATGATTCACCGATAAGCTTATCTCCGGAGGGGAAACAGTGATCATTTAGCACTCTCAAATATTGCCCTTGGTTCATCGAGCCTTCAATAGGCACCAAGTCACCCAACCCATTATATGAGATGCACCCCCAGAACATAACCGAGCCACCACCATGACTCACTGTTTTGCAAACGGGCCTATTTTTTTGCCGTTGTACGCGTGGCAGTCTTACAAAAACCTTTTTAGATGCATTAAATTGAAAAGAACTTTCATCCGTCCAAAAGAACGCTCCTCCAAAATTCTATAGGCTTATGCTAATGCTCCTTTGCGAACGCCAATCTTTTCGCCTTGTTTACTTTGCATATGTACGGTATTTGCTTTGATCGGTACGTCTTGATTTCTGCTTCTTTCAAACAGTACGTTCACTGATTGGTTTATTAGCTGTCTTATTCCATTCATTTGCAGCAGGTTGAGGCTTTAAAAAACTATTTTTTTTGAATGCCCGCAGAAGGATTTTATCATCATTTGTCGTTGTCTTGCGTTTGGCACCCAATCTTGGCAAGTTGTTAATAGTTTTGTGTTTCTTAAATTTGTTTATTTGATAATGAACTGTTTGACGCGATAATTCAAATTCATTTGCAATGTCTTTTACGGCAACACCAGCTTCAAACTTCGCTATGATTGAAGCCCTAACAACAAGACTTAACTCGGCCGTTTTCACCATAATCCTCAAACATTAATTTTTGGTTAATTTATTTTATTTTAAAAATTTGTTAATAAAGCGTAACCAGCAAAAAATTTGGATCAGTCCTTGTTGAAACTCGCGAGATAATTAACACAAGGTTTCGTCAAAATACTTATGCCAAGCAAAAATCCGTTGTCTGCATGTATTCTTATCAGTAGAAAGAGAATGCAAAAGGTAAACGAAATAAAATTTGGCATGCACATAGCTAAAAATAGATTCTTTGTTTTGCGCCTCATTTTGGCACCTCTATTTAACGGTATTAAGGATAGCAAAGTCTGATAGTCAAAAGTAGGGTTCGTCAAAATATTTATGCCGACTAGTGTATTTCAACCAGACCCAATTAAAAACTTAAAATGCCTGTAAAACATAAACCAAAGGATTTTTCCAAAAAATTTAAACGCATAATGTTAGATTTATGTTTAAACTTAATATTTATTAGCTCCATGGTATTTTTGGTTTTTTTTTTTGAATTAATAACAACGAAAAACAAGAAAGGAAAGCTAACTTCGGGCGGAGCCGAAGTTGATATACCCTTGCAGTTAAAACCGGATATATATCGCAAACATCGGAAATAGTTGGCCGATCCTTATGAAATGGTAGGTAGGTTTTGGCGGGTTGGATGAACTGACCAAAAATAGAATCTGTACCAAGTTCCAGCTTTCTATCTTCAAAAACACAAAAGTTGGGTCATTTTCGATCGTTCAGTTATATGGCAGCTATAGAATATAGTCGACCGATCCTTATAAAATTTGGCATGTCGTAATATTTTGCCAAAAATAGCTCTTGTGTCAAATTTGAACTCTCTAACACTAAAAACACCAAAGTTATACCATATCCGATCAATCAGTTATATGGCAGCTATAGGATATAGTCGGCCGATCCGGGCCGTTCCGACTTATATACTGCGTGCAAAGGAAAGAAGGGTGTGTGCAAAATTTCAAGACGATAGCTTTTAAACTGAGAGACTAGTTCGCGTAGAAACAGACAGACAGACGGACCGACGGACAGACGGACATGCTCATATCAACTCTGGAGGTGATACTGATCAAGAATATATATTATTTATAGGGTCGGAGATGTCTCCTTCACTGCGTTGCACACTTTTGACCAAAATTATAATACCCTCTGCAAGGGTATAAAAATACGTAAAGTTAATAAATATTTAGTTTGAATATAAATCTAAAATTGTGCGTTTAAATTTTTTGAAAAAATCATTTGGTTCATGTTTTACAGGCATTTAAAGTTTTTCATTGGGTCTGGTTGAAATAAGCTGTGAGCCACTGTAGCTGGTTCCATTCTTCGTAACTGCCGTTCCTTGTAACCCGCTGGTTATTCAGCATGGTAACAGATAGAATCCTGTCATTTGAATTATCCAGAGGAGTGACTATAGTCAATATTGTCTGGCAAGGGCATCCCGCGACGTGATTTAGTCCGCTCAAACGCACGACGAAATGTCGTTGGTAGTGATTGGCGACATTGAGATTATAGACTGGAGTGTCGGTGCTGGGGTAAGGAGTAGAGCTGTAAACAATTTTACCTTTTGAGAATCGGTTATTTTTGATTCAATTCTTGAAAAGATTGATTAAATCGATTTAAAATCGAAAACTAAAAAAATTGTTTCCAGGAAAAAAGCATTTTTTTCTTAAGACGTGGTAAGGAAAACAGAAAATTTACCTTTGCAAACAAAAATAAAATTCAATAACAAAATATTTTGACATCTGTATTTATTCAGTTAAAACCCATTGGTTTTTACTAGTAAACACAAGCTTGTCAACATTTTTCGCTTTTAGCGAAGCTCGGCGGTCGGTGACTATGCATCCAGCCCTGCTGAATGTCCTTTCCGACTCCGTCGAACACGCTGGAATGCAAAAATACTTTAATGCGCATTCTTTTAGAGATTCCATCTCAGTTGCGTGACTCTGGAAGAAAAGTAAATTGCACTTAGATTTTTTTAATTACCAATTGAAATCAGAATAGCAAACCCAAAAGTCTATTGGACTAATATTTGGCGATACATGAGGATTTTCTAAGTACTGGCGTAAGGCAATGATGGCATCAGACCTTGGCGTTTTTACCTTACTTGCAATTTTAGATTGCATAAAGGAAAAGAAGGCTACGCTCTCAGTGTGTGTTGATGGTTCGGATTGATCGAGGGTGGGTACTAAAGTTTTGGCCATTCCTGAAAGTTCATTTTTTATAGCTTCTACTGCTAGGTCCGCAGTACTCCTGCTCCGAAATCCTTCTTTCTTAAATCGTGGATCCAGGATAGTTGCCACTTTGGTAACGGAGCGAGACTCATACTTGAACAATCGTTGGTTGACCCCTTCTAAGAGCGCAATTCGAACTTCAATACCTTCATTCATCGAAGTTAGGCGGTGATGGATATCAGCCGACACCGGAATAATGAGAGAAACAGTTTCATAGGTACTACCAGACACGCGGTTGGTTGCTCCATCAAACGGTTCCAGAATACGCTCCAGATCTTCTAAAATAGAGATTTCATCTGCCGTTAACGGTGGAGGTGCCTTCTTTGTGTCAAGTAGTACCCGTGAAACGGCCTCTCTCAATTTCAAAAGCCGAATAATCATTTTATAACAGCTATTCCATCTGGTTGATACCTCTTGGATGAGTCCATAAGTGGTATCGTGACCCTGCGCCAATTTAAGTTTCGCATATGCAATGGAACTTGACTTGAAGAACGAAACAATTCTTTTGCATTTGGTGATTACTTCCTTAACATTGCCGATGATCAATGCATCTTGAACCACGAGGTTCAAGGTGTGCGCAAAACAGGGCATGTGCCATTTCTCCAAAAGTTTGCACGCTTTGATCATCGACGAGGCATTGTCTGAGACTATCGCTGTCACTTTGTGCATTATTTCCCAATCAGCTTGCACGATTCGCAATGTATCGGCAATATTCTCGCTGTTTTGGTTGGTGTCGCACACTAGCTTATTTGTTGATAATACCGCACTTTTTAGCTTAAAATTGTCGGTCACAAAGTGGCATGTCACCGACAAATAATGGTCATTTGCCCGACTCGTCCAGCCATCCGTTGTGATGGCGCAGTATTTTATGTTAGAAAGAAGATCACGTAGCTTTGTCTTCATCTCGCTATACATATTTTCTAGCAACACATTAGACAATGTGGCTCTACTAGGCAAAGCATAGGTGGGGTCTAGACAATGAACAAAGTGACGGAATCCTGCGTCTTCCACTACGCGAAACGGCTGCATGTCCGTAGCAACCATTTTTTTTAGAGCATCGTCTAGCTCAGCTTTGCGTAATGGCCCCATAGCATTTGATTTAGTTGAAACTACATTGAAAAATGAACTTACAGTTGTAGATGTCGTTAATTTTTCTACTAAAGTTGAGTGAGATCGCTTTAGGTGGTTCATAAGGTTGGTGGCATTTCCACCGCATTTGTAAGTCTGCTTACACAGTTTACATTTTGCAGAACCTCCTTCAACCTGTTCGAAATGCTTCCACACGAATGACCTGCCGCATTTTTTTTTCAATGGAGGCTCATTTTCACAATTATCTTCCATACGAATGTTTTTTTCTACAAGTAAAAAAACACAAGGTTAGTGCGTATTGGATATACGTGCTGCCTTACATACGTATGTATGTATATGAATGTGCGTCGTCAGAGAGTGCGCAAAACAATCTACATTATTTACCTGAAATACGAACAAACTTATCCATCCCTCTCTTTCTCCTTAACACCAACACACACAGATTCTAAAAGTGAATAATATTTATTAGTTTACATAAGTTTTATAACTTAAAAATAATTTTTTCGGTTACTTACATTTATCCAATTTGATTCGCCTGAAAATTTTTTTGTAAGGTGACCAAACTGTTCGATGCATCGATTCCCTAAAAAAAGAATCTATTTTTTCGCTCATCCAAAAAGATCGATTACATCGATTAAAAGATTGAATTGTTTACAGCTCTAGTAAGGAGTGACTGGAGGCAGGATAGGCTTGCAAGGGCAGGGTGAAGTGGACCTTAGGCTTGCGATCCAAATCATCGTCAGAAGAGTAGCTACGGTCGAGTTGGGCTGGCAAGGGCTCCCGGCGAGGTTGCCTAACCAACTCAAGCATACGACGAGATGACATTGGCGGTAGTTGGGGTCGTCGAATAGATGGACTGGAGTCACGGCTTTGAGGCGAGGAGTAGCTTGAGTCAGGCTGGGCTAGCAAGGGTGCTCGACGAAGTGGCTTCGACTGCTCAAGGGCACGGTGAGATGTCGTTGGAGGAGACTGGCATCGTCGAGAGGATGGGCTGGAGTAATGACGCTGGGGCGAGGAGTTAGTAAGTCCTTGGGAGTAATTCCGGGGAGCATCTCACGCATAGCTTAGTAATTTTCCTTAGCTACCTTTAATATTTTGCCGCCCTTATAACTGGCGACGTGCTAACCGCCACAGTTGGCACATTTGGGTGTGGAAGTCCTTGGAAGAGTACAGTAATTCCCGGCAGCAATAATTCTTTGTATGCCCAAATCGCTAGCATCGGTGGCACATCGTTGGCTCGTCCCGTGTCCTTTGGCGTTCAATAGTAATATGGCTTTTGCCAAGTCTTTTAATTGAGAGGAAAGTGCCGACTCGTTCCAGGTCATAGCATTAAAGCGATCTCAAAGATTTCCATCGGAGTATGGTCACGGTAGGATTTTAGGTGACGAATGTAACAGAGAGTGAAGTTTAAACTTGCAAACTCCCTTAGAATTCGTGAAGTAGAAGTCTAGAAGAAGACCACTGCACTAGAAGACCACTGCACAGTGGTTGGGCTTGTATGGAGACGCGGCCAAAAATACTTCTAGCGGACATATCGTTATGAAATGAATACGAAAAATCTAAAATAACATTTTAAGAATATAGTAAAAAAATTCAGATAGTCAGATAGGACGTCTATATCCTATAGCTGCCATAGGAACAATCTGTTTGAAGTCAACATTTAGTATGGAAAACTATTTTTTTTTTTATAGATATCTTAAACAATCTTTTTTATATCCAGATGCCATGCATTGTAGTAATGTTGCAAATCTATTTAAAACATGTTTATCCAATCCAGTTATATCAGCAGACAATTTTGTATCGCTAAAAAACCTTCTTGCCGTATTACCGTCAATTGAAGTTCCACTACCTCCACTTCTTGGTTGGTCAACATGTAATCCCATTTTGACGGGGAAGTCTGCTTGAATTTGTGTTATCCTATCCTTAAAGGCTTTTTTATCTTCTGGGGTACAAATTCGCCAAGTTTTGAAATGCAATCTATATGCCAAATGCAAGAAATATTCAAAAAAAATCGAATACATGAGTGCAACGGAGACAACCCAAACTCATAATGTTCTTCGTGAACTTTTTTGCTTAACCATTTTTTCAAGTCATTCATTTCGCTCGGCTTTGCGTCACATTGTATGTAGCATTCACAAGTTGATGTTTCACTTAAAGCTCTAAAGACTATTCCCTCAACCATTTTGCAAACGATGCAAAAACGACTGCAAACGATGTGGAATTGTAATATTTTTGGTTTGTGCTTTACATGTATATGGCTCCAGCGCAGATATTTTATTCCTAAAGTATTTGGCTTCATATAAAGTCAATTGTGTTATTGCTTTTTGGAATTTGAATCGTATTGGTCTGCAGTAACGTGTGGATGACGGTCGCGGATTTTTCCAAATTACTTTCTGTTTCTGGGGATCATTTTCCTGAGTAATTAGTTGCAGTGTTACATACTTGTGACAAATTCGAATCATCAATGTTACTGTTCAATGCTTTCTGTTTGTATTCGGAATGACTAGAACTGCCGTCAAATCCCTACTTGCCAATTAAAATCAAGTCAACCACGCTATCATCATCAATGGTTTCAAGGACATCAGCTTGAAGTTCTATAATTCGTAACGTAGTGTGATCCAACAAGCTTTGCAGCTCAACTTCGGCTTCGGATTCGCTGACACTGATATTTTCGGGATTTTCTTCTACGAATTATTGATTGAACGATGTGTGAGACATCAACATCAGCAACAACAACAAATCGCTTAAAATATATGTACACTTAAACAAGAATAAGAAGACATAAGTCTATACACAAGCTATTATAATGATCTCATCGACGAAAGTTGCTATGAGATGTTGCCAGGGATGATGAGAAGCTGATGGAAATGCAGCCATCGACATCAGCTGCGGCAGCAGCTGCGTCTGCTTAAAATCAAAATTAAATAACAATGTTAAAAACATCAGTAATAAATTCCCAATAGTTACAACTACGAGTAGCAGTAGTAAAAACCCAAAACCAAACAACACCAAAACAAAATTTAAATATACAAAAAATTCTAAATATTAAAAATTTATTAAACTGTCGAATCAACATTGAAATCTATAAGCCAAATCCCAAGGACATTTCACAATGTTTTAAATGTCAGAGCTTCACGCACGTTGCAGCCAATTGCAACATAGCATACAGATGCGTTAAATGCTCTGATAATCATCCCTCTGGGGAATGTAAAATTCCAACTCCAAATGACAAATCACAACAAATCACTTGTATCAACTGTAAGGGCAACCATACAGCCAATGCACGTATCTGACCAATACGGCAGCAAATAATACAAAAACTTCTCAAAAACAAGAAAGGAAAGCTAACTTCGGGCGGAGCCGAAGTTTATATACCCTTGCAGTTAAAACCGGATATATATCGCAAACATCGGATATAGTTGGCCGATCCTTATGGGAATAGGAATATATAATCCAATTTATTACAATACAAAATCTAAAAAAAGTCCCAAACTTCTATCTTCAAAAATACGAAAGTTGATATTTCTACCAAATACCATTTCCGATCGTTCAGTTATATGGCAGCTATGGGATATAGTCGGTCGATCGTTATGAAATTTGGTAGGTCGGATTAACTGACCAAAAATAAAATCTGTACCAAGTTCCAGCTTTTTATCTTCAAAAAGAAGATATCCAACGAAAGTTGGGTCATTTCCGATCAATCAGTTATATGGCAGCTATAGGATATAGTCGGCCGATCCCGGCCGTTCCGACTTATATACTGCGTGCAAAGGAAAGAAGGGTGTGTGCAAAGTTTCAAGTCGATAGCTTTAAAACTGAGAGACTAGTTCGCGTAGAAACAGACAGACGGACAGACAGACGGACAGACAGACGGACAGACAGACGGACAGACAGACGGACAGACGGACATGCTCATATCAACTCAGGAGGTGATCCTGATCAAGAATATATATACTTTATAGGGTCGGAGATGTCTCCTTCACTGCGTTGCACACTTTTGACCAAAATTATAATACCCTCTGCAAGGGTATAATAAAGAGATAAGAGATTCAATTAATAAGAAGTCCAAATTTAATCAAACAATAAGCCATTTCTCTCGTATTAAACCAAACACAACATTTTCCTCATTATTTCAAAGACCACCACCACCACAAAACCCTATAAAAATCAACAACAATAATAACACAGTGCGACAAAAAAAGAAAAATTGGAGGAACTTTTGAAGAGACCTAGTAGGAATTGTTCATTAGGTCGAGTATAGTATAAAACCATGTTTGAAATTTTTCAAACACCCTCAAAATCTTGATTTATTTGGAAAAAACGGTTTCTCGGGACTTTTTTGCTCTTAAAAATTCCTAAACGCGTAATTTTAAACCGATTTTAATTTTTTTTTTGTTTTTCAATAGTTAATTGTTGGAGCATTTGAAAAAAAATAGATCTTTAATTTATTTTATCAAAAAGGATAGAATTTTTATGCAAGAAACTGACATTTTTGAATTTTTGTCGTGTTTTTCGGACTATGACGCCATTTTTTCGGTACAACTTCCTAGAAATGGTATCATTTTTGACACATATCAATATTGTCTCGTTAATTTTGAATAAAACGAGACCAATTTCATTTCGAAATTATGAAAATTGTTGAAGTTATAACGCTTTTCCCAAAACAAGTCAGTGCAATTTTACTAGCGCTAGTCAAAAACTAGAACGTACTATATACAATATACAAACCGATGCAGATAAAAGCCAAATACTATTAGAGTTCATTTTTAATATGTCAATAGAATTTACTCGATTCGGAAACGCACCGAATTCAA